AAATCCAGGCATGTGCCCTGACCGGGAATCGAACTGAGATCTCCTGGATTCTAGGTCGATGCTCAACCGCTGAGCCATGCGGGCCGGGCACAATTTTTCATATTATATCCTTTATGGAATTCCGTGAGAGAAAAGTGGTACGGTCTTATGAGATGTTATTATAGACGTAATTTAAGTACAGATTGCTTTGGAAATGCTGTGTGAAGGCATGTTCCCAGGAGCGTGCGACTTCAGGAAGCATCTAGAGGGGAGACATAGAAAAAGGTCCTGTAGCAGCAGAGGCAGGGCCCTGAGCGGAGACCTTCTGGAGCGGCTTTGTCCTGTGAGTCGTGGTCAGACACTAATTGCTCCTTAAATGATCCGATTTCTGATTTTGAAAGGCTGGTCTGGCCTGGCCGGCGTGGCTCAGCGGTTGAGCATCGACCTAGAATCCAGGAGATCTCAGTTCGATTCCCGGTCAGGGCACATGCCTGGATTTCGGGCTCCATTCCTGGTGGGGCGGGGGTGGGGAGCGTGCAGGAGGCAGCCGATCAATGACTCTCTCTCATCACTGATGTTTCTCTCTCTCTCCCTCTCCCTTCCTCTCTCTCAATTCAATATATAGTTTAAAAAAAAAAGAAAAAAGAAAGGCTGGTCTGGTGGTAGGGTGGCTGTCCTTCTACAGATCAGGGAATCTATGAGGAATCATTGATCAAAACCAAAGAACCAAAAATGGGCAAAGGAAGGAAACCAGTATTTGCTGCAGACCTACTCAGTGGAGCGGCACTGTCTCTCACCCATACTATCTCAGTAACCCTCGCAGCACGCCCGAGGACTCGATCGGACTCCCGTGTTAAAGAGGAGGGAGCCTCTGCCCGGCCGGGCGTGGCTCAGCTGTTGAGCATCGACCTAGGATCCAGGTGATCGGGGTTCGATTCCCGGTCAGGGCACATGCCCGGGTTGTGGGCTCGACCAGTGACTCTCTCATCATTGATGTTTCTATCTCTCTCTCTCCCTCTCCTTTCCTCTCTCTGAAATCAATAAAGATATATTTAAAAAAAAAAAAAAAGAGGAGGGAGCCTCAGAAATGTCCGGTTATTGTTCCGACGTCAGGACGTTAATAAGCAGCGAGTCAAGCATAGTCTCTGCAACACCAAGTCATTCGTGTGTTTATTTCTGTATCACGCTCTCTTTCCAGGGGACAGATCACGAAGGTTTGAACTGAAGCAGCAGCAATAACGGAAGAAAGAACGGACAGGCTGGAGAGCCATCAAGTCGGCAAGGCCTCCCAGGCTGGGCTTCTGGGCGTGGGGAATGAAGAAAGAGTCCGGGTGACTCCCAGCTGTGGGGGAAATGTGGGAGGATGGAGAGGAGCTCATTTGGGGCACAACACGGGGCTTCAGAGAGCATGGTGGAAATGGCTGGGAGGCTGAGCAGCCCAGCCACGTGGCCTCTTCGGAGGCAACACGGAGCAGCGCAGGTCCACGAGTAAGCCCTCGGGGTCCTGCATGTAGACAAGGGTGGTGGGGAGCGGAGACATGGGGTATTAACTGGCGCTGAGGCCTGACTTGCCATTATTTCTTAGTTTTAAAACAAATATAAATCTTGGAAATAGGGATTTGGTTTGCTACTTAAAAAGAAAAGATAAAATGCGTTCTAGCTCAGAGGAGAGTTTGAAGCCTCACTTATTGCAGAGGTTACCTACAAAGTGGCTCCTGGAGCAGGCAAAAGTGCCCCCCCCCCC